AAAGAGGAAAATTGCACAAATGTTTTATAATTCCTTAGTTGATAAAGAAAGTGAAGAGTATGGGCGGAGTGGGCGGGCCAGGATGTGACGTAATACAAGTTTTTGTTGGCCCCACACAAAGTATTGGCGTCAAGCAAGCAGGTGTTTACACCAGCGCAACACCTGCCAAAATATACCACATCCTTGAACTCTACCTCGCAGGTGTTTGAATCATTATATTCTTGGGGTAGCGCAAAACAATTAAGGGTCAAAGAGTACCGAGGGATTTTGGAGGGAGTCAGGTCTGACATTGCAAACTACTGAAGACGTGTTGATTGCAACACGAAAGGCCTAGAGCTATCATTCAGTTCCCCCCTGTGGTTGTTTTGCATCTTGCATCACTTATTCGTAATTATTGCATACAGAGGTATGTGCACATACAGAGGTGTATATCCATATAACGAGTATGTAAAAATCATTGTTTACTCTTTCCCATATTTTACATATTAAATCATTCTCGATATTAGTGTACAGGATTTGCAACCTTAATAACCCATGTGTAGTTGATAGGCTTTATAAAGCGGTAAAGTAACTGTATATGTAGACTGCGTTACTTTCATTTTTTACTACCAACTGCTTACTCAGTCCATCTTCCTCCATAAAATTAGGGACTTTTTTTTACAATTATTGTTTTTTTAACCAAGATATCTAAGTGTTAGTGGAAAAAAATCGTAAAAAATATTTGAAAATTTAAAAAAAATGTGAAAATATTGCGAAATTTATTATTTTTTTTACCATTTCCTTTTGTCATAAAAAATATGCTTCAATAGCTCAAAAAAGTGAATATATTGGTCTATAAAATGCTTGATACACCTAAAAAAAATGTGAAAATATTGCGAAATATGAAGTTTTTTCGTTTCAATTATTTCATGGTGAAAGGCAAGCAAGACCACCACCATCACTACGAAGGTCAGCGTTATATATTTCTTCGTCTTCACTTCTCTCAGATTATTATTTTTATATTAGAAAACAAGCGCCAAACCCGTAGAGGTTATATAGCACCTGGGAATGGTGGGCGGTTAGGTTCAAGGAGAGGAATTGTCTAGTTGCTAGAATCAAGAGCCCCCACACCGTGGACAGTAACATTGAGCATAAACACGCCATCATTGCACATTCTTCAGCCTTGTATATTTTCTAGGTTATTACATGAATTACTTATGGCACCATCGGAAGGTCAACACTTAAAACAGAGAATGAAAATTAAGTTTTTCACACCATGTTAATCCAACGAAGCCATCGAAAGGTATCTAATATATACGCCGAGTTTATTTTATCTCTGTTTATGAAAATATTCTTGACGTTAGTGTAACGTATGTTAACCAATATTTCCATATATTTACCCAACAAAACTATATTATATAAAAGTGGCGAATTACCTCTGGCAGCACAGGGCATATACACAGGTGAATTAGAATCTTAATTAATGACCTTAGTGAAGGTGATAGACTTTACAGCTAATAAATGTAACAAGCATCAGCAGCAGCAGCAAGGTGTCATGTAGGGTGCCATGTGAGAAACACCCATCACTTCTGAGAACTACTGGCTCACCTCGCCCCAAATATCACGAGCTAGAAATAGAAGATCGCCTGATATTATCCCTTTTAACGCGCTTAAAATTTAAGCTTAAATTAAACTGAACATATCTCAGGGGTAAATTTAGGATAAATCTCGTAAAATCATTGCTATGTTATCCTGGAGACTAATTTTGAGTACATCTATTAGTAACAGGAAACTGAAATGTTCCGAAATAATTCCATACATAAGGACGAAAATAAATGACCATTTACGTGCACGTTAAAGATTATATTAAGAACGAAATTTTATTCTTATTGTCTAGTTGGCACTGAAATCAACGCTCAATCTAATTTATTACTATTTATATGTATAGCAGCAATGTGAGCATGTGTGCTTCCACTAGCAACTAACAGCACATATAGCTCAGACATAATATATCCGCACAAATACAAACTACAAATTAAAAAAATAATAATATATTGATAAGAGAATGTATTTACACCGTCTTTCTCCTAGTATGTATACGCTGAGTATATGTGCTCTAATCTTAATTTTAGGGATTAAAATATACTTGATCTTTAGCAATATGCAAAATATAACATTGCATAGTCGAGTCTTTAAAGTAATTGTTATTATTATTATTATTATTCATGGGGAAATGCAAACCCAAGAAACCATTTATAAAAACGTTACAAGCAAAGGCTATGATAATGTTGCCAAAGCTTACTTAACATTTTTACAACATAAATACTACCCTTTTCTTAGGTTAATCTCAGTATTATAAATAGTAATAACAAGAGTTACATTTTCAAGCTTAGTGTGTATATATATATCGTGTTTTATTGCCTTGTGTTAGGTTCGTTTGTACCAATAAGCGATAGGCATTTCCTTTGAAGTACATATCCTTGCATTATAAATAGTGTAGCTTCGTGTTGTGCACACCTGTGTTGTGTATCAGCAACTACAGTGAAGGAAGAAGACATGGCTGCGATGTGGGTAGTTGGTGCAGACACCCCACAACTGCACACACCAAGTATAGTTTTTGCTATGTCAGGTGGCTCACACCACACATTCGTCTCAGCATTTCTCGATACTTGATCAATTTCTTTTTTTTTGTATATTATAACCCTCGTGAAAATATATCAGTCTTGTCTGTGAAATTTCTCAAATTGGCATTACTTAGGAATTAAGAGTAAAGATTATTGAGGAAGTGATTGTGGGCGCAAGAGGTCACGTGTCCTTAGCTAAAAGACTGGTAGTGGCAGCCTCGCTGGAACACCTGATGTGTCAACGGCTTCCTGCATTGACTGCCCCTTTGACGCAGATCCACTGCTGGCCTGCTACCTGTCAGGGCTCCTCACACTGCCTACAACTGCAGACTCAATCACCGACGGCAGGCTCAACTACGCGAAGACAAGTTGCTTGTTTGAACCATCATTTAAGGATAGTCTCCATGAAGGGTATACATACTCTGACAAACTTCTGAGTTACTAGGTTCCTTGTGACGAGTAACCGATCATACTTACAGCCTGCGCTGTCACGAAATCAAGTTATTTGATCACTGCTTCTGCTGGGTGATCCTTCTGCAACACCGTCGAGTCTGTGCTACAACATAAATCGAGCTGCTCTTGTCGACAGGTGGTTTTACCATCACCTCCTTCGCCATCCAGTCGTCCACGTCATTTATAGTTCATGACACTGAAGCTCACAACAAACCTTATCTTCAGTCAGCAAAGATTTCACATTTGTTCTCCTGTACTGCTGACTGGGCGTCCCATGCCCTCAAGAAGCACTGCTGGAATCCGTGTTTACAGAAGGTGCTCTCCTAACTGTAATGCGCCCTCTCTTCAATACCCGCGGCCTCCTGAGGTTCAGAGTTCGAGTACCAAGCCCCATTGCCGAGGAGAGAGAGAACTTCAATATTGTTAAGGGAAAGGTCAGTTGACTCAGCTGGTTTGTGTCCTAATGGTTTTTTTTCACTGTTCTATAATTATCGGTAGTATTTGATGAAGATCATCTATAATGGTAAACAATATACTTGTTTACCATTTATGCATTCTGTCAGCAAAAAATCTGTTTTCAAGACGTCACAATACCCAGGCTAGAACCGCTCCAACAGTATTGGAAATGAAAATTTTACATATCACTTTAATTGTATCAATTAACCAAAGTTACGAACATACGCACAAACAATTTTTTTTTGTCGGCATAAAAAAGTTCGATAATAGTCTATACTAGCCAACTACCGCTATCACAAACATTATTATATTATTATATTTGCGTGGAACGCTAAAACCGCAGGGGAGTGCCTGGAGAAAGTGAGAACATCATGATTTGATCCAAGGAAAAACAGGTTTAAATTTCTTGGATCAAGAGCCCTTACCAGCATCAAGGAACTTCCCTTGAGAGGTTCAGATGTCCAGTAAAGAAACAAATGTTTTATTCTTATTGACCTTGACCCTTCAGGATGCCTTAACGCTAGTGAAGGATCTTAATCCAAGGTACTGGAGCCACCTTAACTTGGATCAACCCTCATTCCCCAGGCCGCTATATGATCCATACAGGTTTTGCGCTTACCTGTAATAATAATAAAATAGTATAATAAAATTAATAATATAATAAAATACAAAAATAATAGTAATAAAATAATCATAGTATATTATTATTATTATTATTAATGTAGCACCTTGTTCTCTGTCCCTGCCTTTCAGTGTTCCTGTCTGCCTGTCAAACAATCTTAAGTATCACCAGTGTATTACCATGTTTCCCCTTCACCCTGGTGTTCTCCTTTAATAGGAAATTGAAATCTGAGTCGCCTACAAGCACAAATCAGTTTATCATATATAGCAGAATATATATTTTCATGATTATTCAATATATTTAATATTCATTTCGTGTATGTTTAGTTATTTATCGAGTCACGTTTTTCCTATGTATGTATGTATTAATGTATGCTTGTATATACGTATTGCATGCATGCATATGTATATATGTATACTTTATAATCATTACGTATGTTGAAGGGTATACTGTTTATACACTGCATATGTTGTGTGTATATATATATGCAGTGTATAGTGCGTATATATTGTAATTTTTTACCACACTGACCATCTCTCACCAAGGTAGTGTGACCCAAAAAGAGGAAACACATTCACCATCATTTTTTCAATAGCTGTCATGCCAGAAGAGCATATATTATGTATATTACGTTTTTAGTGTATATATAATATATATATATATATTTATATTATATATATATATATATATATATATATATATATATATATAATTATATATATATATATATATATATTAATTATGTAGAGAATGGATCAAAGTAGAATGACATGGAAAGCATATAAATCTATAGGGGAAGGAAGGCGGGGTAGGGGTCGTTCTCGAAAGGGTTGGAGAGAGGGGGTAAAGGAGGTTTTGTGGGCAAG